GGGGGGAGGGGGGGGTGACAATGGGGGGACAATGAGGGGGACACGGGGGGGACAAGGGGGGGACACGGAGGGACACGGGAGGGGGGTGACAATGGGGGGACAATGAGGGGGACACGGGGGGGACAAGGGGGGGACACGGAGGGACACGGGAGGGGGGTGACAATGGGGGGACAATGAGGGGGACACGGGGGGGACAAGGGGGGGACACGGAGGGACACGGGAGGGGGGTGACAATGGGGGGACAATGAGGGGGACACGGGGGGGACAAGGGGGGGACACGGAGGGACACGGGAGGGGGGTGACAATGGGGGGACAATGAGGGGGACACGGGGGGGACAAGGGGGGGACACGGAGGGACACGGGAGGGGGGTGACAATGGGGGGACAATGAGGGGGACACGGGGGGGACAAGGGGGGGACACGGAGGGACACGGGAGGGGGGTGACAATGGGGGGGGACACCGAGAGGGCACTTGGGGACACACAGGGACAGCCGGGGGTGACACGGGGACACCCAGAGTGACCTGGGGACACCTGGGGACACCTGGGGACACTGTGGGTGACAACGCTCACGTGACAGCCGCGTCACCGCTGTCCCCTGCCTGGGGACACCGCTGGGGGGTGGCCCCGAGGTGTCCCCGAGTGTCCCCAGGGTGTCCCCGAGGTGTTCCTGATGTCCCTAAATGTCCCCAAAGTGTCCCCAAGGTGTTTCTGATGTCCCCAAGGTGTCACCAGGTGACCCCAGGGTGTCCCCAAGGTGTCCCCGAGGTGTCCCCAAGGTGTCCCCGATGTCCCCAGGGTGTCCCCAAGGTGTCCCCAAGGTGTCCCCGATGTCCCCAAGGTGTCCCCCAGGTGTCCCCAAGGTGTCCCCGATGTCCCCAGGGTGTCCCCAAGGTGTCCCCAAGGTGTCCCCAAGGTGTCCCCAAGGTGTCCCCAGGGTGTTCCCGGACCCGGAGCAGCCGCGGGGTGGGGGTGGGGCAGACGGTGGGGGAGGGGCTGTTGAGTCACCGCTTCCGGAACAGCCGCTGGGGGCGGGGGAGGGGCGGGGGGAGGGGCTGAGAGGGTCCTGGGGCGGGGTGACACAGGTGTGACACTGTCCTGGGGGTGTGGCACAGGTGTGACACTGTTCTGGACAGGTGACACAGGTGTGACACTGTTCTGGACAGGTTACACAGGTGTGACACTGTCCTGGGGGTGTGGCACAGGTGTGACACTGTTCTGGACAGGTGACACAGGTGTGACACTGTTCTGGACAGGTGACACAGATGTGACACTGTCCTGAGTGTGTGACACAGGTGTGACACTGTTCTGGACAGGTGACACAGGTGTGACAGTGTCCTGGACAGGTGACACAGATGTGACACCATCCTGAGAATGTGACACAGGTGTGACACTGTCCTGAGTGTGTGACACAGGTGTGACACTGTCCTGAGTGTGTGACACAGGTGTGACACTGTCCTGAGTGTGTGACACAGGTGTGACACTGTCCTGGACAGGTGACACAGGTGTGACACTGCTGGTTACACACCTGCGCACACCCTGACACCTGGACAGGTGTGCACCCTCTGCCACACCTGGTGTCACACACACACACAACCCGTGTCACACATACACACACACCTGGTGTCACACCAACACACACCTGGTGTCACACACCAACACACACCTACCTGACGTCACCCCTGCTGTCACACACAGGTGTCACACACACACCCCTGCTGTCACACACCTGGTGTCACACACACACAACCCATGTCACACCTGGTGTCACACACAGGTGTCACACACACACACCTGGTGTCACACACAGGTGTCACACACACACACCCCTGCTGTCACACACCTGGTGTCACACCCCTGCTCACACCCCTGCTGTCACACACAGGTGTCACACACACACACCTGGTGTCACACAACTGCTGTCACACACACAGGTGTCACACACACACATCTTGTTTCACACCCATTGTCACACCCGTTGTCACACCTGTTCACACCTGATGTCACACCTGATGTCACACCTGTTCACACCTGTTGCCACACCTGATGTCACACCTGTTGTCACACCTGTTCACACCCATTGTCACACCCGTTGTCACACCTGTTCACACCTGATGTCACACCTGATGTCACACCTGATGTCACACCTGTTGTCACACCTGATGTCACACCTGTTGTCACACCTGTTCACACCCATTGTCACACCTGTTGTCACACCTGTTCACACCTGATGTCACACCCGTTGTCACACCTGTTCACACCTGATGTCACACCCGTTGTCACACCTGTTCACACCTGATGTCACACCCGTTGTCACACCTGTTCACACCTGATGTCACACCCGTTGTCACACCTGTTCACAC